ACAGAATTTTCTACATAAATGATCACGACATCTACAAATAAAGACAGTTTTACCTTTTTCTTTCTAATCTGGATATCTTTTATTTCATTTTTCGGACTTAATATGCTGATTAGAACCTCAAATACAATACTGAATAGTAGTGAGAGCAAGCATTCATTCTTGTGTTGTTCCTGGCGTTAGAGGAAAAGCATTCAGCACTTCATCAGCAAGTATGATGTTAAATGTAGTTTTTTGTAGGTACCTTTTATCAGGATGAGAAAATTCCCTTTTATTCCTAGTTTGCTGAGAATTTCTGTTAAGAATAAATGTGACAAGCAGGTGGAGGGGGGAGGAGGGGATGGGTATATACAAACATAATGAGTGAGATGTGCAATGTTTGGAGGATGGTCACACTTGAAGCTCTGACTCGAGGGGGAAGGGGGGCATGGGCAATATATGTAACCTTAACATTTGTATCCCCCATAATATGCTAAAATAAAAAAAGAAAAAAGGGGGAAAAAAAAGAGGACCAAAGTGTATCACAATTAAAAAGTAAATAACCAAACAAAAATAGATAATAAATAAATTAAGATCATTTATTTTATTTTAAATTACTTCTAGGAAATATAAATTTCATATGCAGCTGGTACTGTATTTCTGTTGGACAGCATTGTTTAGGAAATCAGTGAGAAATAAGAGAAATATCAAGGTCACATTTAAATTCTTTATTTAGTCATTTAGGTTTAATGTCATTTATTGAATCCTCTTATGTATTCCATACCATTTCACATCCTTTGTGGATTTAGATAGGAATGAGCTTTCATACTCATTACAGAGAACTTATTTTTTCCTGTATGTAATTACTCAGTATCCTCACTTGAGTCCTGCTTTCATTATATTTATTTTTCTATTTCTGATTTTATAGTGCATGCATTAAATAAAACACTGAAGACTCAGGAATAAAAAAAAGAATAAATGTGAAAAACTTTTTCTAAAATCCTTGAGATAACCATGATTTTCCTTTTTGTTCTGTTAATGTATTGAATTACGCTATTTTCCATTCCTCAGATAAATCTCAGTAGGTCATGATATATCATCCCTTTAATATATTGTTGGATTCCATTTGAAAATTTAAGACTTTTTACCTCTTTGTTCATATGGGATATTGGACTGTAATTTTATTTTCTTGTAACGTCTTGTCTGCTTTTAGTAACAAGGTAATGCTGTCCTCACAGAATGATTCGGGAAGTATGTCCTGCTCTCTAATTTTCTGGAAGAATATGTATAAAAGTGGGATAATTTTTTTCTTAAATATATAGTAGAATTAAACAGTAAAGCCATCTGGGCCTGCAGTTTTCTCTGTCAGAAGGTTTGTAATTACAAATTCTATTTCCTTTGATATAGAGCTATTCCGGTTACCTGTTTCTTCTTCAGTAAGATTAGGCATTATAGTTTGCTAGTTTCAAGAAATTTATGCATTTCTTTAAAAGTTAATGAATGTATTGAAAAAAGGTTATTTATAATATTCACTTATCCTTTAAATATCTTTAGAATCTATAGTGATGTCACCTTTCTTGTTCTTAACACTATTAATATTACTCTACTCTTGAGCTTTGTTCTGGTACATAGTTAAGTTACTTGGAACAAGTCTGATCCTTTCAATCCTACTTTGTCAGGTGAAACCAGAGCATCATTTAGTATGGACCCAATTTTACAGCATTACTGAAGCAAAACCCTTCTGAGTATAACATGCTGTAAATTATGAGGTTTACACTCTGGCTATTTTTAACAGGCACAATTTGTAGCCATAGTAAGCTTCAGGAATTGTTTCTTCTAATTCTGCTGTGTGTTCCCTTTTCCCCTCACCACCACCACAAGTAGTTTCCTCAAACATATGTGGCAGTTCTATCCAGTTCTGTGCCCTGCTAACTCTAACCTGTTGACCTCCCTGAATCCACAGCTCCCCCAACCCTATACCATGCGCTAGAAACTCTCCAGGCACTAAGCTGGGACAATCATAAGGCTCACCTCATTTGTCTCCTGTTTCTGGGGAATCACTATTTTTCCTTTGCTGATGTTCAATATCTTGAAAAATCATTGTTTCATATAGATAGATAGAAAGATAGATACAGATAGATAGATAAGAGTACAGGATTTTAGCTGTTTCAGGCCAGAGAGTAATTCTAGTCCCTGTTACTCCATCTTGGCCAGAAGCAGAAGTCCTAAAAGCTGCTAAAATCTTCCAAATGGGAAAAACTGCTTAAAAAGCAAATAATGGAAAATCATTATAAAGCAAATAGAACCAAACTATATATTATTGTGTTTATTTAGAGAAAGAAAACGAAAGTTTCCCAATAAGTTTATCATTGTCTTGACTGTTATTTTTATAGATTGTTATTCTACATTAAAGTGACTTATTTATAAAAAAGTATTGTTACATTAGAAGTCACTTCAACTAATAGCCACTGCTACTTAAATAAAAATATTTATCTATTAAATTTTAAATTTCAAGATGGTGATACATGTGAATACAGCAATTCCACTTATCAGAATTTATTTAACAGATATGTAAAAATAATTGAAAATTTATTTACATGGCCCTGTAAAACAAGTTATATTTTCCTAGACTACTTGATCTAGAATATGAAATGCTTTAAATTGCTTTTTCTAATTTTAAAATAACTGTAGGATTTCAGAAAAGCTGTTAAAGTAGTACAAAGAATTTGTAGTCACCTTTCACCCAGACTCTCCGAATGTCTGGCATTTTACCATATTCACATATTATCATATTGTTTAAACCATGTAAGAACACACTGTAGACATAATACCACTTTCACCAAAATACTTCAGTATTTTTATTTCCTAAAAACAAGGACATTCTTTTATACAATCATGATGCAATTATCACTGATGATAAAAACATCTAATCTATAGATTTTATTCAAACTTTGTCAACTGTCCCACTAACATCCTTTATAGGATGCTGGGGGATAGGTATCTTAGGAAACTTTTGCCCTCAGGTCAAATCACGATGGCCACCAGTTTTTGTAAATAAAGTTGTGCTGGAACACAGATATGCCATTCATTTACAGATTATCTATGGCCCATTTGGAAATACAAAAATACAAGAGCAGAGTTGAGAAGTCTCAACAGATTCAGTGTGGCCCTCAAAGCCTAATATGTTTATTATCTGATCCATTACAGAAAACATTTTCCAACTCCATCTTTATAGCAAAAGAAAAAATTTTTTCCTGGTTTAGGATCTGCTTGAAAATAGTTGTTATATCTCCTTAATGTGGAGCAGTTCCTCAGTCTTTGTTTTTCATGGTCTTGACATTTTTAAAGAGTAATTATCACTTACTTTATATAATGTCTCTCAATTTGTGTCTGTCTGATATTTCCTTATTTTTAGATTTAGCTCATGCATTTTTGGCAACAATACCACTAAACTGACAATGTATCCTTCTTGGGATGCACATGATATCTGTCCATTATTGGTGATGTCAATTTAGATCATGTAATTAAGATAGTATCTGCCAGTTTTCTCCAATATGTAATTATGTTTCCCTTTATAATTAAAACATATGTTGTGAGGACACACTTTCAGACTCTGTAAATATTTTAAAGTATACTTTAATTCAATAAAGTATCCACTGATGATTTTTGCCTGAAACAATTACCACTATTGAGGTTATCAAATAGTTATTTTTCCTAATTTCATCATTCCTTCTATATTATGTGGCATTCTTCTATAAGAAAAAGCTATCCCTTTTCCTGCATTTATTAATTCATTCACATAAATATTTATACTGAGATTACCTCAGTACAGACATCTATCTAAACTGTCACTTTAATATGAGTTTTAAACCATTTTTATCATTTTTTATTTTAGTGATCTCAGTGTCCCAGATTTGGCTAACAGGAATCCCTTCAAACTGTCTTTTCTATCCTTCCAATAGGTCCCAATTGTTCTTTAACTGCGAAGCTTTTGGAATAATAGCAATAATTTAGAAATTACCTAAATGGCCATATATGTGAAATAGTAAATAAAAAGTGATACAAAGACAATGGAAAACCATGGAGCCATTAAAAAGAACTATCAAGGTAGAAGATGTGCTGGTAAGAGGAGCTGAAAGATAGAGAACAATGGTAGAGTATGATGCCAGTTGAGTTTAACTAGAAAAAGAAAAAAGACGAGAATATACATATATGCATACAATTTTCTTGAAAGATAAAAAAGAGAAACTGCTAACAAAGCAGGATTTGCATTAATTCCAGGACTATGACTGTGGAACTGGGTCTCTTTTTATTTTACAACCTTTGGCTGTTAGAAATTTTTAAAATCATTTTAAAGACTAATATTTTTAAATTTAACATTTATAATTAAAACATGTATTGTAAAATTAATTTATATAATAACAACTGGGTAGATATTCTCATTAAAAACAGGTAAAAATCTTTTCTTTAAAATTCTTTTCTAAAAGTATTCATTAAATCTTTCAAGTCTCACCTGCAATCAACAAATTGTGATTGGCTAAACAGCGCTAGATATAGAAGCTAGCTTTGCATGGCCACCGGTATTGTATTCACTATATCATACTCAAGATTAGGCCTGGTGTGGTGACTCATGCCTATAATCCCAGCACTTTGGGAGGTGAGAGGATTGCTTCACACCAGGGGTTAAGAGATTGCAGTGGGCTATGACTGGGCCACTGCACTCCAGCTTGGGTGACGGAGCAAGACCCTGTCACTAAAAAAAATAACAATAAAAAAAAATCTCAAGACTAACTCTCAGAAAGGTTTCATTTTCCCTTTTGAACTATATCTTCTCACTCCTCCTTGGCAGGAGGGGGGGAAAGGGGAAGAAAAGAGAATGGGAATAAATTTAAGCTCTAGATACCACTATTTGAGTGGTATCTTGAGTAACTTCAAGAGCATCTAATATAGTTTCTACAACAGCAGGATCCATACTTCTATGAAATGTTTGCATGAAAATCTGACTAATGTTATATAATGCTTACCTAGTGAGTCGTTTAGGTGGAGGCCGCTCACCAAATTTCCTGAAAAAGAACAAAAGAAAAAAAATTAAATAAGCTGTATGATACACTTCATAGTAAGCTTTTTAGGCACCATGAAATCTCCTTTATAATATACTTCAACCTCACAGAAGAACAGTGAAAAGAGAAATCCTCTAGTAAGGATCTGTACCCATAAATAACAAAATACACATTTAAAATAGTTCTTAAAGAAAACCAACACACCCTAGGTAGACCTCACACACACACTCTGATTAAGTAACTCACTGATCAGACAGAGATGACAGGTATCTTTTAGAGACACTTCACAAGAAAACAATTAAAGACCCTTAGTCACACATACTCTGCAGAACTAAGGAAAAGCTTCACAACTGAAGAGATGGTATAGAGCTCACAAGTATTTATCATGTGTCAGGCACTATGCTACCTATTTTTATTACTTGCCCTATTTAATCATTATAAAATAATCCTCTAAGATATATGCAGACCTCATTTTAAAGATATGAAAAACAACTTGCCCACTGTCACAAAGTAAATTAAGTGGCAGGAGTAGCTGAGATTTAAACACAGATTTTGACATGTAGCCTATACAGTTTCCGGCCCTTGAAAAGTGAAACATGCTAGGCTGGGCACGGTGGCTCATGCCTATAATCCTAGCACTCTGGGAGGCCGAGGTGGGAGGATAGCTCAAGATCAGAAGTTTAAAACCAGTCTGAGCAAGAGCGAGACCCCGTCTCTACTAAAAATAGAAAGAAATTAATTGACCAACTAAAAATATACAGAAAAAATTAGTTGGGCATGGTGGCTCATGCCTGCAGTTCCAGCCACTCGGGAGGCTGAGGCAGAAGGATGGCTTGAGCCCAGGAGTTTGAGGTTGCTGTGAGCCAGGCTGATGCCATGGTACTCTAGCCTGGGCAACAGAGTGAGACTCTGTCTCAAAAAAAAAAAAAAGTGAAACATGCTAAATAGTCTCCCATAGATGCATTTCAACTAGTTGGTGGAGGGCAACAACAAAAGCAGGTACAACAGGCAGGTGGCTCACACCTATAATCCTAGTACTCTGGGAGTTCAAGGTGGAGGATTGCTTGAGCTCAGGAGTTGGAGACCAGCCTGAGCAAGAGTAAGACCCCTTCTCTACTAAAAATAGAAAAATTAGCTGGGGTCATCGCACATGCCTATGGTCCCACCTACTCAGGAGGCTGAGGCTAGAGGATCGATCAATTGAGCCCAATAGTTTTATGTTGCCGTGAGCTACTATGATGCTATTGCACTCTACCCCAGGGCAATCCAGAGACAGACTCTGAAGAAAAGGAAAGAAAGAAAAGCAGGTGCAAAGGCAAAAAAAGCACAGTTCAGATTCAAGTTATGAGAAAGGCTCTAGAGTAAGATTGGCTAGGCTCAAATCCATGATTTGGTATTTACTTGCTGTGTAACCCTGAAGTTACTCGACTCTCTAGGTCTCAGTTTTGATATCTGTAAAAAGGATGCAGTGATTGTACTTACCTCAAGGAGTTGTTGAGGGAATTAAATGTTAATTAATATATAGAAACACAGAGAACAGTGCTCAGAACACAGTTAAGTTAGTGGTCCCCAACCCCCGGGGTCTCAGACCACTACAGCAAGTGGGCACTACAGCAGGTGAGAGGCTACAGATGCTGAGCAGCAGCAGGAGAGCAAGAGAAGCTTCATCTGTATTTACAGCCACTTCCCATTGCTCACATCACTGCCTGAGCTCTACCTCCTGACAGATTAGCAGCAATATTAGATTCTCATAAGCTGGATCGCTACTGTAAACTATGCATGTGAGGAATCCAGGTCGTGTACTCCTTATGAAAGCCTAATGCATAAGGATCTGAGGTGGAGCTGAGGCAGTGATGCTAGCACTGGGGAGTGGCTGCAAATACAGATTATCATTAGCAGAGAGGTTTCACTGCAGAATAAATGTAATGTGTTTCAATTATCCCAAAACCATTCAACTACCCCCCACCCTGGACCATGGAAAAATTATCTTCCATGAAACTGGTCCCTGGTGCCAAAAAGGTTGGGGACCGTTGCAGTACGCGTTCCATAAATGCTAGTAATTATCACCATTTTTAGTTTTAAATGGTTAGGCCAAAACAACTAAAGGAACTAAATATGATGCTCATGGAGATAAATAAGTATGTGAGAAGAAACTAACTGGAGTTCCTATGTGATGACCTCTTATTTCCTCTAAAATAGGAAACGCAGGCCGGGTGCGGTGGCTCACGCCTGTAATCCTAGCACTCTGGGAGGCCAAGGCGGGAGGATTGCTTGAGCTCTGGAGTTCAAGACCAGCCTGAGCAAGGGCAAGACCCCGTCTCTACATAAATAGAAAAGAAATTAGTCAAACAACTAAAAATAGAAAAAATTAGCTGGGCACAGTGGCACGTGCCTGTAGCCCCAGCTATCTGGGAGGCTGAGGCAGAAGGATTGCTTGAGCCCAGGAGTTTGAGGTTGCTGTGAGCTAGGCTGACACCACAGCACTCTAGCCTGGGCAAGAGAGTGAGACACTGTCTAAAAAAAAAAAAAAAAAAAAAAAAAAAAGCATACATACAAAGATGTTCAATAATGCATCATGTGCATTAACAAAAAAAATTTAAGTTCTTGTGTACAATGAGGAACAGACTGCCAGTTACATAGCACCTCCCACTTAGGCCTATATACAACACATACAAAAAGCTATCCAGTTAGAATTCTGAATGAGAAAATGAGATCTACATTTTTCATCCCCCCTCCCCAGTGTATACATAAAACACACACATGCCCTATACACAATTATTAGTGACAATGGTGGGCAGCCACAAAAATTCCATTTTGCTTTAATGTGCAATATATAATTTCACAAAAGAGGGTTTTTCTTTACTAATTAAGTTTGTCTTAAACAAGAAGACAAAATTACATTCTCTAGACCTGCGGTCCCTAACCCCTGGGCCACGGACCAGTATCGGGTCTGTGGCCTGTTAGGAACTGGGCCACTCACAGGCCACAAAGCAGGAGGTAAGCAGCAGGCAAGCAATATAACTGATGGCCACTCTAGACAACTGATGGCCACTCAAGCACCAACTCTAGAATATAAGAAGAGAAAGAATGGTATAATTAACTGTTGGTATAATTGTGTAATTAATTGGAACAATTAATGGTACAATTAATTGTTCTTCCAGATTCTGGTTCCTTTTTTCTTTCTTTCACCATTCTGCACTCATAAAAGTGCCTATTACATATTAAACAAACACTTGGAATAGAGAGCAGCAAATAAGAAACATGGCTCCTAACCACAAGGAGTGTACTACAATTGCAGCTCTTGGAGGGCAGGTATTATGTTATGTACTTTGCATTGATATCTCACTTCATACCCACATCAATCTAGGTGCTATTATCCTCATTATACTGATGAGGAAACCAACTCAGAAACTATCTTGCTTAAGTTCATATACTGGTAAATTTGGTTCAAAATGGAACTAGACTATATAATGTTCATGATTTTCCACATATTCTGCATTAGGATAAAATTTAACTGCAGTTCAATTCTGGGCACTAAAATGTGACAGGATGTGCATTTTTATGATACAACTGTAAAGTATACTAACTGAACCTAAACTTTTCCATGATATAGCACAGATCTGGTTTACTGGTGGTGGGGAGGACAAAAAAATGTGAAAGGAAGTCCTTCGTTACCTTCTCAATCCTTCAGCTACTAACTAAGTTTTATAAAGGTAAAGAGTAACTTTCTCTTTGATTACTAGAAACAAAATGTTTTCAAATATAAAAAATTCAGAAAATCCAAAGATATCTGCTATGGGAGCCATATCTTGCCTGTTACATACATACACACTTACATACGTCTGTGTGCCCAAATATATGTATGTCATAAATCTGACAATGCCTTTCTGAAACAATTATTCTAGTATTTTTCCTGCATAGGGAACTATGCGGCAATTGCAGTGGGGGCTGTGAGAGTCTCCTGAATTTAGTGTTTACACTATGAATCATAATTCTGCAAAGTATGTTTTTTTCTGAATTGAAAAAGACCATAAATCTACACAGACTTCAGTTTAACAAGAAGTTTTTGCAGTCTTCTTTTTTCTGTTGATAGAAATTATGCAGACAGTACCAGTCCAACCTCCACAAACCATGTTCGGTCAATTTCTTAAGTAGCCAAACCTCTGACACACAGTTTAGTGCTTTAAAGTATTTGAATTCAGCAGAGCACCTGCCTTTTATTTTCCTTTTCAGTAACACCGACCAAAGTTACAGATGGGATAGCCAAAATAAGTCTTTCATGGTTTATGATTCAGGTTTATAAGGAGTTGTTTCAAAGAAGCCTGTCCCTAATGAAAACATAAAAGATAGCAATTTCCATTTTTAAACACATGTAAAATACGACATTGTGGATATCCTACACATGAACTTAAATATACTCAATAAACTAAATAAAATGATGGGAATCAAAATTCTTAAGTTCAGAATAGGGAATAAGATTTCCAAAACATTTATATAACACCATTGCATGAATAAGGAAGTAACTTTTTGCTTGGGTGTAAAATACTCAAAACAATACATTTCTTTTAAATTGTAAATTAGTTTTCTGTTATCACATATCATATTATATTGATCAAATCTACATTTGTGGTAAAGTCAAAAACCATTCTGAAGACATGGTCTTAACCACAATTCAAATCTTAAAGAATGGCTTTCTGCCAAAGTGTATCTGGCCATTAACCTGTCATGCTGCCTTCCTGCATTGCTAGGAACAAAAGAGCAGGCCCAGTAGCCAGTATCTGCTCACTCAAGCCACACAGGAGGCCAAGGGGCTCTGAAAGAGGAATAAGCAAAATAGGAGCACAGCGGTTGATGGTACAAGATGTGACTGCAAGCTGCTTTGCCTTAGGTGGTACTGCTACTGGTAGCCTATTGCTTCTACAAACATCTGGGGAGCCTCTGCTCAGCACAGGCAAAGGAAAGGTTTGGAACTGAGATTGGCCAGATCACAAAGCAGTAATTAA